AATATTTTTGGGAATTTAATTTTCTTTTCTATTAAAAAATGAAATACACTTGATCCTTTTTTAGTATAGATAAACTGTTATAGATATTTGAAGTCTGCTATATATCTGCACTGTATTTTCATGCATTATATATTTATCTACTGCTGATTGCTTTTAATTCTCTTATCACAGATATATCACATTTAAACCACATACTATGTTATTATTTTCATTGTTTTTGTTGTAGTGATTATTGAGTCCACATTTGCATCAAATACAAACAGTCAAAGTTATCTGTGATGTTAAACTGATTTGACCTGGAGGGTTTAGTCCTGCTTCATGGGGAAAATACCTGCATTTCAAATCTCTGCTTATCACCATAATCTAATATAATAATGCAGTTTTTTCTGCAAATATTCCATGTATTATTATAGTCAGCCACCAAATGACATGCATGAATACATGTTTATTGGCCACTCTATTATCCCGGGACACTCTCTCATTAATACAAAATTAACCCATCGACTGATATCGATTTGGAGTTTTTGGAAATGGTGACCTGGGGCATCGGCCTCTGCACCCAGTTCAAAACAGACCGTCTAGGTTAATTAATAATTCTGGAATGGTTTTATGTTTTTGAGAAATTTCACACTGATTGCTTCCCCTTCATAAAATGGCATACAGTGGAAAAAATTAAAAACATAAAAACAGGGTGCAAAAAGAGTATTTACAGTTTTACAGATTTCTTTGATTATTATTTTTGTCACTTCTAAATCTTGCTGATCACCAAAAAAAATGTGAAAATCAGGACAAGTAAACTATTTTTGAATTATTATCTTATTGAATGATAGGAAAAAAATGTTAACGATTGGCCAAAAAAAACAAAAACAAAAAAACAACAACAATAAAAACTGCCTAAACCAACCAAGGAAAGTTAATTCTGGATCAACAGGGTTTTACAAAGAAAAAAGTAAACCAAAAAGACAAATGCATACAAAAATCAAATAAGTTCACATTATAAAGCCTAATTGATTTAAAAATGTAAAGATATGCCCTATAATTACTCAAAAAAAAACTACTCAATTACCTCTTAAGGACCAAGCTTAAGTTAGTGTAGGGAGAGTTTTCAGGGATGATTCAACATACCGGTATTTTAGGAGGCCTTGATTTTTAATTAGGCAACACTAAAACCCTTCATTTTTTATGATTTAGAAGTGAACTCACCTGTGTACTTTAAGCCATTGATCTGCTGCATAATGTCAAAATTGCATGCTTCAAATGTGCGCGCACCCTACAAACTCTTTCATCAACATGTTTGATTGTTGGTTTGCTAATGGCTGATTTTCTTTCCAATCTAAATCAACACCCAAACCTTCCAAAAAGTGTCACTTTGTTTTCTTCTCAGTTCACAGAATATTTTGCTTCAGTTTTGCCATTGCTAAAGCCCTGCTCCTCTACAATATCCTCCAAAAGCCACAGAAACCTACAATCTCCCATTCTATCTCCAAATCAGAACCTTCATATCATCAATATAAATATTTTTATTGATACAGGCTGATACACACTGGTGCCTCTATATGAAATCATAATTTATGGGAGAAAATTAGGCCTCTGATCAGAGATAGTTGATAATTCCCTGTTTTAATATATAAAAAGAAAAACAAAGCTAAAAAAAACAAAACAAAACAAAGGTTAAGAGGTGGAATAAACAATCAATTTGAAAGCCAGTAATTGTTGGATACAACAAGACACAGAGTTTTTATTAGCTGCTAAGTCATATAAACCAGCTTTACTCACACTTCATTATCTCTCTCTCTCTCTCTCTCTCTCTCTTGAAAATCAATTTTCATCAATGACTTAATCTTTGATCATATTTTAATGTAATGTTTTATACAGTAGCATTCCAAAAAAGTAAAAAAAAACAAACCACATAGAACTATTTGATCAAGTAAACACACAATGAGGGAAATATTGAGCACTTAATCATCATTAATGGTCGAAACATGTCTATTGTGCCTGAATTTGATGTGTAAGTATCAGATCACATTTCAGTTATTCTGTTTCAGTTATTTTTACCATAATCCCCAATCCCCAACAGCATCAATGCATCTTTACAGATGGGGCAAATGAAACCTTTAACCTGATTTACTCTTCCACCTCCACATTGCCTTGAACCTTTGTAGATGAGCTGGTAGATAAGTTTCATTCTTTAATTTCAGACAGGATTGATTCTATAATCCTATTAAAGGAAGGCCATTACTGAGGTGGGAAAGTCTGAGGAGAAATGCTCCAACAGTCAGAAGGGAAAAAAGTGAGAGGCGAAAAGCTGGAGTCCAGGTTCATTACAAAATCTATGAAGAGACACTGTGCAGATAAAGCTAAAATTATAGCTGAAATATGCAAGGAGATCTTTCTTCTCTGAGATCATCAGCGAAAATATTAACAGTCCTGGTGTCTTATTGGCCACAGTGGACAGATTAACAAAACCCTCCTGTGACTGTAGCATCTAAACTCCACTCTACCAAAGCCTGTTATGAATTTGTTAGCTTGTGTTAGTAACCCCTAACAGGTCAGGTACCAAAGTTTTCTTGTTTAAGTTTCAGTATTTCCCCAAAAATAAACTACAAGCAATTTAACACCAATGAAGCTCTTTTTCCTGATGTCTCAATGTTTTACCCACAGCTATGGGTAAAACAGGGAACGACTATTTAACTCTTGCAAGAGCATGCACAAGCCCATTTCTCCTCATGCACGCTCTGTTTAAAAGTTGCTGTTTTCATCACTTATACAAGCTTACTTACAAAAGAAGATTTGCAGTTTTTCCACTATGTCAGACTCACCACCGGTAAGTGAAAATGGGGACGAGCACGTAGGGCGACCTTACATGAACACATCACCAGAATGATTGACAATTAGGAGGACCACTTATTTTGATGATCCATCCTGAAAAAGATCATCCTCCACTATACCTTTAAGGGGTCTGCCTAAAATATTTGACAGCTATAGTTGATCCGAATGCGGCTGCCAATGTTCTCACTAATGCTAAGAAAGTGGAGCATGTCACCCCAGTTCGCAAGAGCTTACAATGACTTCCCATCTCTCTGAGAATCAACTTTAGAAAAACAAATGTAAACATCTATAAATAATTAAATTCCATTTATTTCTATAGCTCCAACTCGCACCACATGTCATCAAAAGGCACTTTACAGAGACAATCTGTCAAAAAACATGGACAGATGGACTCAGTATTCGTTGCTAGACAGACAGTGGGAAAGTTCAAAATGTTTATTAATACAAAACATAATAAGTGCGGACTGTGGATTTGCGGATCGCAGAGGCTGCATGGAGGAGGTGGGGAACAACCCTATCACTGACACTCAGGTTTACCAGTTCAGTCCATCTTCTCCAAGGAAGGCAGGATCCAGCCGATGGACTGCCAAACAAGCTGCAGTGCAGAGCCGCCCAGAGTGTCCCTGATGCAGCAACCTCAGTGAGCAGGCAGGAATTCAATCCTGGTCAGGGAAACAGATCAGACAGGACAGTTCTGGAATCCAGTGGTCCACAGCCCGGTCAGGGGTTCTGATTCTCACAGGAACAGACAGATACAGGGTTCCAGGAATCCACAGAGCTTGAAGGTAGGTTCATAGTTCCAGGAGTCTAGCAGCATTGCTCAGAAAGACATGCAAAGATATAGACAGGCGGGCTAAGTGGTTAAGGGACAAAGACAAGACATGGTACCAGGATAACTGCAGAACTTTTAACTGTACTCCACCTAGGAGCCAGGATTACGGGACTTTAAACTAGCTTCCCCCCGCCTCGGCCGAGCCAATAACAGGAACAGAGAGCGCTTAGCAGGTAAGAGCCAAGACACAATCAAGAGGTGACAAGACAAACACTAAAACCCTCTTAACCCGCTGGCCTCCAGGGACGGGGACACAAACCTTGGAATAACTAAAACTAACGAAACAAACATACATCATACAATGGTCTTGCCCCCATAGCTGGGCTGAGCCAAATATAAAGCAACAGACGCAGGTGGATAAGTTGAGGAACATAAGTTGATGAAGTGAAGAATTAAGTTCAGCAATCAGAGCAGATCATGACACAATTCAACCGGATCATACAGTTAGATTGTTTCAAAGCTTAATTAATTAATTACCTCTATGCCTTACAATGTGCTTTTCTCTGTTTTTGCATTACGTTTTTTGAATATACAGCACTTTGAATTTTCTATAACTGAATGTGCTATACAAATTCACTTGCCTTATCTTGCCTATTGTGGATCAAAAAATAGTTTGGTTAAAAAAATGTTAACCTTGGAACTTTAAGATTGATGTCATTCTTCTTTCCTCTAAAGTATAAACACAGATTTTGACTGAGGAAGGATTGCAAGGATTTTTTATATCCTCCTCAACATGTAGTCTGGCAACTCAGGAAGATAAAGCCTTGGTTTTGTAACAATCGCTTGACTCATAGATATACAATTCTTTGTTTCTCGGTTATTTGTTTTGAGGTACAATTCAAGTTATGTACAGGGTAATTCTGGTTTGGATAGCTGTTCTCTTCTCCATAAATAAAACCAATATTTTTAAAAAGCATATTTTGTATAAGCTCGGGTTGCCTTTGGCTGTTATCAAAATGTATAATTTCAAACATTTGAGTGTAAAAACAAAGGTAAAGTAAGAAACTTTGCAGGGAACTTATACCTCTAAGTGCTGTGCATATGTGGCAAGGAATTAATTCCAAAAGGTTTTCTGTACAAATCGATAATTATCTGCATTATTTGTAGTTTCCACAGATTTCTGCATAATACAAACTCCTTTCAAACGGTGTCTGGAACTTATGACCAGTGCATATGGCAGAGGAATCCCTGAAGCTTTTAAAGTGAACACTGTGTACGATGAAGCTGCTGTATAGACTTATTGGCTTTACTGGTTAGCAGCAGTGCGTCAGCCTGTTGTGTGCCTCTGCGCTCTGATTGGCTCAGGGCGCAGTGATGCTGTCTGCATCCTGCTCTGTTAGGCAGGACAAGAGGGGAGGGAAGTTGGAGGCGCGGCACCTTAACAGAAGCGGCTAAAACAATAATTTTATCTCGTCATCTGAAAGATATGTCATCTGTCAACATGTGTGGGACGACAAAAGAGGACGCCGCATCCAAGCCGTGACCGCATCCAGTGAAGACGACGGTCAGAAGCAGCCTGACTCAGTAAAGTCTCATCTTTGCACCCAGTGGATGCAGAAAGGGTCACACCAGGAGCCATGAGCGCGTCCGGGGACGACCCGCAGAGTTTACTTTGTTACAAGGTAAAGTGGATTCTGATTCATGAAGTGCAGCGCTAAGGGTAGGTGCGTCACCCGATCGCTGGAACTGATCGGAGCAAAAACAAACTCAGGTGTGGAGAGTTTTCACATTTTAGCATTTTTTTGGTTTCCCTGCACTAACTTTGAGACGCGCCATGTCCAGGAGGACTAAAGTGTTGAGCTATAACGGTGATTGTTGATATATTTATTTTGTTAGGTGTTTTAATTCTGAAATCCCTTCACGTTGCATTGCACAGGCGGACATCAGATCAGGCAGAAATGAACGCGCACCCTTCGGACGAAAGATGCGTCATGGTTACATTATTAGGAGAGCGCAGCGGGTTATTGATTAGGGGTGGATGGATTTCCACAGAGCCCGCTCTATAGGCATTAACAAGTCAACTGCTTTTCCCAGGGGTCACGTGTTGTGTAAAAGAAAAACTGCGTTTTAAAAATATTTTTATTTATTCAGTATTGCACCCAAATGACCTTGACAGAAAGCGTTTGCTTTATACTGGAGAAAACTGGAGAGACCTCAAATGGCACATTCAGTGCCATTTGAGGTCTCCTTCAACTTCTACTGCATAGCTTAATGGACTTGTTGCAGGCAATACCTTTCCAGTCGTGTTATCAGGGTGATTCATGGTAACATCCTGCCTGTGTGCAGGAAACCGATTGAGAAGAACCAGAACTGAACTGGAGAGTCTCAGATATCAATAGACTGCTTTCAAACAAAAATGGGAAATAGCCTCTGGGTTTCTCCCTTGAAGCAAGTTATATGACCTTGTTGTCATGCGTGAAAGGTTGTCCAACTGGAACACCTGGACTGTTTAGTGAGTGTATTTGCAATAAACAGTTAATGATAAGCAATGGTCAGAAGATAATATCAGATTAACAGATTCTCTCAGAATAGCTGACAAAGAACACTGCATGGCAGTAAAACAAAAAAGCTGATACATATGTTATGAAAAGTATCACATTAACAGCTGAATCCAGATATTAACATGCAGCACATAAAGTGGTTTATAACTTTTTTTCTGACTGACATTAAAAGCAAACAAAAAATGTCCTTTTTCCAGCTGTAGGATTACAAAACCATTAATATTTTTTGCATGCCAAAATAATCAGATATATAATTTAGGATTTAGGAGGACTGGATCAAAATTGTAGAAAACTATTGTATAAAGCTTGTGTTAGGATGGACAAACTGTTTCATATTTACCCAACATATAGTTTAAAATGAGAATCTATCAAATACAGGTGAAATGGTTGTCAGGTTCCAAATTAGACACAAGCTAGAAAATAATAATTATATCACTTAATAATATGGAAATGAGGCAAACAGAAGTAATCTTAGTTTTGTCCAGCCTTTGACTTATTTCCAGATAAATCTAAGGTACAGTGCAAACTTTTTTTTAAATTTTGCACTCCCCAATTTACAAATTTAAGTTTTGAAAACCTGCAGCCTGCAGGGCATAAGTGATAGAGCAACATAAAAATGTCTGCAGATTACTAAAAGATTTGTGTGTCAGGTGGTTAAAAAAAGTTTAAAGTGTTAAAAATATCTTATAAAATGCAGCAAGAGTACAGTCCTTTTTAAATTAACTGTTATAACTGTGCTCCTTCTTGAAAGGAAAATTGTGTAGTCAGATAAGATGTATAATATTATGTATAATATTATAATATTTTTAAGCAAGAAACCATAAATAGTAAGTGATCCTCAGATCGGAGAATGGAAATACATCATGTGTCTAACAAGAATCTTCAACCAATCGGGAAAGATCAGCTTTAGGTGAGTTCCAGCTGACCTGTTCTTATGCCCTATTTCTACATAGGTAATTTAATGAGAGTTTGATGTTAACCAGCAATGGTTGGTGTTGGTCAAGCATTGTGCAGCTGATATGCATCACTTTTTTTGCATGATTAAGCCAGGCTTATTATTTTAATATTCATTCATACTCTCCTAATTAATAAAAACAAAAAAAGAAATGTAGAATTATATATTTCTATATTATATATTACTCTAATTAATATTCACCACACAAAGATCCACTTAAAATCTGTTTGGATTTAGTAACTTCTAAAATTAAGAACTAAGATTTTCACCAAAAAACTGTATCATATCCTTCAGCTACCAAGTAAAAGAACAGCTACCATGTGAATTTGTACGTTGAACAGCCTGAGTCTGATCCAGTTTAGGAAATTTTCATCATGTGGTCTCTTGCTTGTTCTTTCTCTGCAAACCAGAATCCATGTACTAGTGTTGACTTAGTAGGCTCTTGTTGCCAGAAAGCAGGCTTCACAAGAGAAAAATCAGCTATAAAACTATAAGATGACAAGCTTTATCAAAGCATGTTACACATGAAAAATGGGAATTACACATTTTCAAAAACTAAGATAACCAAAGGTTTCAAAAAAGTTGTTCCTATTTACATAATACTATCTCAAGCGTGGTGGTTGTTTCTAAAAAAGATAGTTTTAAATTCAACTCAGAGGCATCCAAACAAAGTTTTTATAATGCAGCTGTACTATAGTCTAGTAAAAGTATTAAACACAACCTGGATAAACCTAGTTCTGGTAGGTAAAGGATCAAATCTGAGGTTTTCATTGGCGTTGCAACACTTTATGTAGCCCAGCTTCATGTCAAGTTCGATTATATTTGTTCCACATCCATATTAATAATTTGTTATGGAGTAGATCCAGGAAAAAATTGAGAGAGCTATGATGTTGAACCACATGATGATCAACAGATGGGAGATTGTTCTTAAATTAAAATGAAATGCATCCCAGCTTTAAAAATGAATGAAAACAGTTCTGATTTAAAACCATTTATGATCTGTTTTGGTCCTATTACAAAGCATTTAATTAATCTGTTTCCTGGCTTGTCCATTTGATGCTAAACAAACTTAAATACTGCTGAGTTTTTTTTGGAGATAAAAAAGTTACAGCTCTGTCATGCACGCCATTGTTTCCACTTTCGACTACTGTAATTGCAAGTTTAACAGTAGGTAGTTATGTGATGCATGTGATGCCGTTATATAAAAAAAAAAAGTTACACTGAGTTCTTTCAGGCTTCACACAATAAACGCCTTGATATTGAAGTGAACTCTGTCAAAGGAGCACACATGCTGAGGGTAACAATGACCTTAAATTTCCTCTGTTTGTACAGAATCGCTTTATAGATGGCGGTGGGGGTTGTATCTATTTCTGGCTTAATAAGCATCGATAACTATTCTAAAGTTCTGTTTTCCTTTTTTTCCCTCAATTTCTTAGTGCTGTGATGTTCAGGCTTCAGTTGACTCCTGATCTTTGTGCAGTCTGAATTAAAATCTTTACACATCATCATGGATGACTGTGTTTAATTTACTCAAATTGGTCATATACACTCACCGGCCACTTTATAAGGTACCCCATGCTAGTAATGGGTTGGACCCCCTTTTGCCTTCAGAACTGCCTCAATTCTTCGGGGCATAGATTCAACAAGGTCTGGAAGCATTCCTCAGGGAGTTTGGTCCATATTGTCATGATGGCATCACACAGTTGCCGCAGATTTGTCGGCTGCACATCCATGATGCGAATCTCCCGTTCCACCACATCCCAAAGATGCTCTATTGGATTGAGATCTGGTGACTGTGGAGGCCATTTGAGTACAGTGAACTCATTGTCATGTTCAAGAAACCAGTCTGAGATGATTCCAGCTTTATGACATGGCGCATTATCCTGCTGAAAGTAGCCATCACAAGTTGGGTACATTGTGGTCATGAAGGGATGGACATGGTCAGCAACAATACTCAGGTAGGCTGTGGCGTTGCAACGATGCTCAATTGGTACCAAGGGGCCCAAAGAGTGCCAAGAAAATATTCCCCACACCATGACACCACCACCACCAGCCTGAACCGTTGATACAAGGCAGAATGGATCCATGCTTTCATGTTGATGATGCCAAATTCTGACCCCACCATTCGAATGTCGCAGCAGAAATCGAGACTCATCAGACCAGGCAACATTTTTCCAATCTTCTATTGTCCAATTTCGATGAGCTTGTGCAAATTGTAGCCTCAGTTTCCTGTTCTTAGCTGAAAGGAGTGGCACCCAGTGTGGTCTTCTGCTGCTGTAGCCCATCTGCCTCAAAGTTCGACGTACTGTGCGTTCAGAGATGCTCTTCTGCCCACCTTGGTTGTAACGGGTGGTTATTTGAGTCACTGTTGCCCTTCTATCAGCTCGAACCAGTCTGGCTATTCTCCTCTGACCTCTGGCATCAACAAGGCATTTCCGCCCACAGAACTGCCGCTCACTGGATGTTTTTTCTTTTTCGGACCATTCTCTGTAAACCCTAGAGATGGTTGTGCGTGAAAATCCCAGTAGATCAGCAGTTTATGAAATACTCAGACCAGCCCTTCTGGCACCAGCAATCATGTCACGTTCAAAGTCACTCAAATCACCTTTCTTCCCCATACTGATGCTCGGTTTGAACTGCAGGAGATTGTCTTGACCATGTCTACATACCTAAATGCACTGAGTTGCCACTATGTGATTGGCTGCTTAGAAATTAAGTGTTAACTAGCAGTTGGACAGGTGTAATAAAGTGTCCGGTGAGTGTATATCAATTATTGTATATTTTTTTGATTATAGGAAAATATATTTTTTTTCACACTTATGAGCCTTCTAATATTTGTAGAAAGAAAACAATTAGAAACAGTCTTGTATGTGCGGAGCTGAATGAGATGACTCATGCTACCCGTGGGCTGAGGCAGTCAAAACAACCACCCCTCCTATTCTGTCTTCTCCATTTTTTCCTTTCCTGCCTTTGCTTATTCCATCACCTTGTGTTTTCATCCATTTATGTTCAGCCCTCCTCTGAGGGAAGATATGTCTCTTGTGTCTCTAGATTGGAAACGTGCAATGTGGGGGCCAGCAGCCGTCTGAAGACATGTTACTAAGTGCCAGTCTTGGCTGTCAGATGCAAACCCTGCTCAGGAAGTGAGAAGTCCAGTTATTAGAAT